CATGAGGAGTCAGGAAAGCAAACCCAGGAACCTGCTGCTGCCAGCAGGGATGGAGGACAGGCAGCCGGTCTTCCCACCTAGAAGACATTTGGCTAGGATGTGTGTGGGGCTGGAAGTGAGGCTGCTTATTGCTGAGAGCGTTAGCATTTTCTGACCTGTTCTGCACCCTGCCAGCATTTGGCTTTGGTTTTCTCATTGACTCCGACATCAGGCTGTGCGCTGGAGGGCACCAGGAGATGGCAGGGAGGAAGCTGGGTGGATCTGGGAAAGTGGGGCTCACGGCATCATGTGATACCCAATTAGCCAGTGACAAGCATGGCAGGTGGGGCTCGGGCTTTATCCCCTCTACAGCCAACGCTCACAGTAGCTCCCTGACCTCCAGAGGCTCCCTTCCTTCCATCTAAGCCACTTCCTGGCTATGAGTAGCAGATACTCAGCACCGTCTTGAGGCATACAGTGGGCTCAGGGACAGTCTGGCGCATCAGAACTCAGCCTTCCGCCATCCCACAGAGGAGACTGGAAGCTGGGCTGTGAATGTTGTCTGTTCTTCCTTCCTGGAAAGGGAGGTGCCAGGGTAGCCTTGCCCCACTCTGCACCGAGAACGTTTTCACACACACAGTCTTAATGTCACTGCGGCGTGAGGTCACACAGCTGGTCTTCACACCACTTATGGTGTGAGGTTGTGTGTAGTCACTCACCTGGCCTGGAGAGACCTGCAAAAGTGGAGCTGGCCTCACATCTACTTCCATGTATGATAGCGACAGCAACAGTGGGGACACAGAGCCTGTCCTGCTAGACATCTTTGCGCGTGGGATCATGTGCTGCACCAAATAATCACAATGTGAGCTCAGGGAAAATGACTCGGAAATCTCCAGGAAGCTGAAATGAACAGACAATGCCCACATTCAAGGATGTAAATCTTACGGTATGTGCCATGGCTGTTCTAAATCAGCTATGCCTACTCATGCGCCAGGAAACCCCTCCAAGACCTCTCATTCAGCTCAGTCCCTCCAAATTTCTCTTAACCATCCCGCCTAACTAAGCCTGAGGCCTTGCCTCTCTCCCTGAGGAACCCAGAAGAACTGCTACCTGGAGCGACTCTCTGAGGCTCCTCCTGCCTTCCTGTGAAGGTTCTTGTCATCAGCTTGCTTTGCTTTCTTTTCTTTTGTAACAATGTTTTTTCTTTATTCTGTGAACATTCCATAAATGTATACAATGTATATGGATCGTAGCCATCCATCCTTACATCTCTTCAGCTCCCTTTTTGGTGCCCCATCCTCTCTCCCACTTAGCACCACCCATGTGCACATTGGATAGGGGAGTGGCTCTCCTTTCTCTCCTCTCCCAACAGCCTTCAACTTGCCAGGAGCTCCTCCAATATGGGTGTTCATACTGGAGTTTTGTCTTTTTTGATCTTGTGTGTGTCTTTGGCAGGTAACAATAGCTGTTGAATGTATACATGAGCCACACCACATCCAGAAGTCAGCATCTCATGGCTCCCCTCCCCATCTTACGTTCTTCCTACCCTCTCTCCTGTGGAGCTCCGAGGCTGTCATGGTGGGAGTCTGGAGTTGATGACCCATCTACATCTGAGCACTCAGACTGCACTTGAACCAGTTCTGAGCAGCCCAACTGTCTTGAGCCCAGGGTGATGCAGTGCCCGTGGTCCCGACATAGGATCTTGTACAGCAGCTGTGTTTTCTGGAACCGCAGAGAGAAGCCCTTTCTGTTAATACATCTTCATTCTCTGGGACCCGCATCCATTAGTTTTCCTTTCTCTCTGCAAATCTTCCCATTAGAGGAAAAGAAAGGATAATTAGCAGCCCCGGACTGAACAAGCCCTTGCAATGTTCATTGACTGTTTGGTGATGTATTCATTTGTGTCTGGCTTAAAATTCTATAAGCAATATTTAGCAACCTTGGAAGGGCAATATACTTACAGCTTCAGGGTTCTTTCTCAAGAGCCGTGTTCAGCTGGGACATATACCATGGCAACATTGAGTCTGGGCTAAACAGGTGTGAAGAGGCAGTGGGACACCTGTGCCACCACACACAAGACAGGTTATCCTGGAAGGGTGAGCCAAGATGAATATGGACATTAAAAACTCGAGGCTTGGGAGATGGCTCAGGGCAGTGCTGACCTACCGTTGAGTGTGAAATGAGCTGTGTGTGCATCAGCTTTGTGGGAAGGGTTGCCCCAGCTCTCAAGGCCCAGCACAGTCGGTTCCATTTCAATTGCCAAGACAGAATGGCTGCAAGATTGTCTCCCTCAACTTCTGGTGTTCCTGGGACTTCTGAACTGGTGGGTTCACTCTTCATTTTTGTACATGGCTTAATCTTCCAGACAAAGCTGGAGGGCGGCTAGAGCCTTGGATATTTGAAAGTTGTCAGGATTCCAGCTTTCCCTTTGTTTTCTCATTTTCCTTCTGAAAATTTTTACTAAATGGAAGGTAAATTTTGGTCTGAGTGTCAATTATTGTAATCTGTTAACTTCCTTTGCAAAAATAGGTCAAATGTCCCTTCCGTTATTGTGTGTGTGTGTATGTGTGTGTGTTTGCATCCAAATGAACGATTTTTCAGCTTTTAAAAATGTGCTAGCATGCATGTGGTATGTATATGTATATGTATATGCAGGCAAACATACACATAAAATTAAAACAAATACAATTTTGAAAATATTATAATAGCTGGGCATTGTGACCATGTCTTTAATCCCAACACTGAGGAGGCAGAGCCAGTAAGATCTCTGTGAGTTTGAGGCCAGCATCGTCTATAGAGCAAGTTCCAGGACGGCCAGGCTTCTACATAGGGAGATCCTCTGTGTGTGTGTGTGTGTGTGTGTGTGTGTGTGTGTGTGTATGGTTGGTATGTAAAATAAATTTTAAAAATTAGTTTAAAAAGATAAACTATTCTTTCATTGTTGGCTTGTTGGCTACACAAAAGACCTCTGGGTCCCATGGTGCTAGGTTCTTTTTATAGTTAAATAGCACCAAGTATAGGGAGCTGCGGAGATGGCTCAGTTGGTAATGTACCTCCTGGGAAAACATGAAGACCAGAGTTCAATTCCCAGCACCCATTTAAAAGCCTGGTGTGGTGGTGCTTGCTTTTCATCCCAGCTGAGAAGGTGTGATTCCTGAGGCTGGCCCGTGCCTGGCCAGCCAGGCCAGTGAGCCCCAGGCTCGGTGAAAGACCGTATCTCATAGAGTGAGATGTAGAGAGACTGAAGGACTTACCTGATGTCTGCCTCTGGCCTCTACATGCACGTGTGTGCACACACACACATACACAAACACAGGCACACACATGCATGGGTACACACAGATACAGACACATGTGCACACACACATACACAGCACACACACATGCGTACAAGTCATACACATGCATACACATGCACACATACATACACATAAATAATACTAAGTACAATGCCTTGCACGAAATGGGTTAAACACCTGTAATACTGACCAATGCTCGTAGCATGCACAAATTTACCGTATTCAATTATCAATCAGTCTCCACTTAATTTGGATTCATTAAACTAATTATCTGAAATTCATTCTAATAGTAGTACCATCTGAATATCGGCTTCATTGGGCAAACGGGGAACACTGACTCACGCCTCTCCCCTAGTAAGAGCCTGAGGTCCCATTGTTTCCTTTGACATCTCCTGAGCACCTCGCCTCATTCTGGGGATCGCCAGCTCCCCAGAGGCACCTCTCCTGTAGACTCTGGATGGAGACTCAGGGAGGAGGAGGGGAGTGAGAAGGGGATGTCCTCTTCTGGGTCAGCGTGTTAGAGGTTGTGTTACTTTGGAAGCTGAAAGTCTAGACTCCATGCCTATGGGCTGGCATGTCTCGAAGGTTGTGAAGCGACTCAGTGCGTGTACTGTGTGGTGCTCATAGACAGCCTGGTTCAGCAGGGAGCCGGGTACTCAGGGCTCGCAAACTCTTATACCAAACGGTGTTCTGCCCAGGTGTCAGCCTCCAGGCAAGCTGGGAAGCACAAGAAGTTGAATGTTCAAGGGGAGTCTTCGGGCTACCAGCTACAGAAGCCTAGCGGAGTTACTCTTCTGCTGGCAGAAGTAACTTCAGGGAGGAGAAAGTTTTATGTGGTTTTATATAATTGTTCCATTAATCCTTTCAGAAATGTCTTACAATGTATTTTGATCACGCTTATTCTTTTTTCACCCAGAGCCACCTCCTAGACAAGTTTTTTTTTTCTTTTTGCTTATGATTTCAGAGAGAAAATTTCATCATGGTGGGCTGGGCATAGCAAATGGGGTGGCTGTGTCTGCAGCCATCACGGTGGGGCAGGCAGGGAAGGGGGGGGCGTGTCCACAGTCTTCTTTGTTAGATTGAAGAAAAAGCAGGTAGTAACTTCAAAGCCCATCCTTGGTGACATATTTCTGTTTAAGCACACTCAGTAGCAGTGTGAACACGAGGTGGCAGAGGGCAGAGCCTCACACCTTGTTGGGTCAGGAAGAAGAAGGCTCGGAGTAGAACCAGAAGCAGATGCTACCTTCAGAGCTGGCCCCTGGTGACCCACTTCAGATAGCTGGAGACCAAGCCTTCGGACACAGTGTCCTTTGGAGGACATTTCACATCTAGACCACAATGGGGAATCTAGCATGTAGCATCTAATTTATTTAACAAAATATTAGTTTGACAGACCAGATTATTTATAAACATGAGTTCATAGCAGTTTTAGAGCTGTCTGTTTTGGAAGGAAGGTGTTATCACACACACTGACAGACTGACAGTGAGCTACCTGTAAGAATATCGGGGTAACCCAATGACAGGGCCTGTGTCTGACTCCAGCTGCAGTTCATGGCTCCAGGCAGCCACGTGGATGAACCCGAGGGCTTTCCAAGGCAGCATGCTGTTCTTGTTAGAGCCTTGACCACAATCCTTTGTTTTCGGCTTTTAAATGAGCAGTCGTGGTTTCCCTCCGTTTGGGATGCAGCTGCACTCACTCTCTCGTTGGGTTTTGTCTTGCAGAAGCCAGTGTGAAGGCAGCCGCTGTGAAGTGCATGGACATGCTGCAGGGCTGGCTGCGCAGGTGAGGAGCTGTTCGCCCTGCAGACTCTGGGGGCATCTGCTTGCTTTATCGGGGATGCAGTAAGGCAAGGACTGGGCTGGTCAGTCTCTACGGCAAGTTAACAAAGAAAAGCAGGAAAATGCCCTCTGCATCCCCGGGGGGAGGAGCAGGTGCTGTGCCAATGTCTCCTAGCCCAGGCTCTCCCTTGACAAAGTGAATAGATTAGAGTGTTTAAATGCATCTTGGTGAGAACACAGGGCCATTTTCACATCTTCGAACGAGAAAAGCCTCTTTGGGATACTGAGTTGAGGATTCATGCTGTGGTTTGCTTTTCCTTTCTCTGTCAGCCTCTGAAGGGGGCTTAAGGACTAGGAACCAGTTTATGCCCAGAACAATGTAGGAATGTACATTGTAGGTTCTGTTTTGAATCCCAAATCAAAACCAGCGTGAAAATTCCTGGTTGCTTTTTTTTTTTTTTAAACCCAATTAGGAATTCAGATCGGAGAAGCATTAGCGACGCCACAGCACGTCAAGCTGTTTCTGGTTTTCGGGGATGTCTACTTCTGGAAATAAACCCCAGCCAGCGGGATCTGGTCCTAATTAAGGGAACAAGTTCGACAATGTAGTCTGCTTTTCCTCCCTGGCAGCCAGTTTGGTTTTATGGAAACATCTTGCTACTATTTTGGAAATTGCTAAGTGGCTCTGGAATAGATTTGCCTTAAACCTTTGTCTGCTGGGACAGTACAGAGGCTTTTCCCTTCAGGGAGCAGGGCCAGGCATTCATCCCCGGGGCATGGGATTAGCCTCAGGTTGCAAGCCAAGTCCTTCCGCCTGCCAACTGACCTTGCCACCCCGAGACCTGGAGAAAGCGGTGGCAGAGCCGGTCGATGGAAGGCAGCTGTCAGGATTTGTCAGGAGCGTACACAGGTAGCTCAGGGGCTTGGATCTGAGGCTGGCTTTCCTGCCCTGTCATGTGCTGGGAGGGGCTTTCTGACACGCGTCTCTCCATCTTATTCCTGCTACCCTCTATTTCAGGCATGCAAGCCACTTGCAGTCGTCTTAGACTCTTGGTCAGCACCCTGTTGCCCTAGAACATGAGCACTGACAGACAGACAGACAGACAGACAGACACCTCCCCAGCTGCGCTCTGCACCTACGACCTACCCACCCTCAGGAAGGATTAGCTGTCTTTCCTGTGTGTATTCACTCCTCCTGTATAAGGGTTGGCATGCACGTGCTGGGGCACACAAGATAACTTGCAGGGGTCAATTCTCTTCTTATACTCAGTGGGCTCCAGGTGACAAAGGAACTCTGGTCCCTGGGCTCGTTGCCCGTGCTGAGCCACCTCACCAGCCCATTGGCAGCGTCTTTTGCTACAGATGGGAGGAAGGTCTCTCTCTGTCTTTGCCGATAGGTGGATATAACTCAGCAGGAGACATCCAGGCTGGCTCCTTGCACTGCGCTGATCTGTGCACGGTTGCACTCAGGGCTTCTACGTGTGGGCACCCGACCTGCTTCCTAGTGCGGGTTCAGACTTCAAGCTGGCTTCTCTCTCCTCCACATGTTTGGTTTTGAGTCCCATCAGCCTCCGAGGTGCCCCAGAGATCTACCTTGCCAGTAGAACCATGTTTCTCACTGGATGACATATGACTCCCTCTGCTCTGGCAGCGGCCTTCTGCCTCCAGGGTGGCCCAACCAGCCCATTCCCTGTGTGATCTGGTTCATGCTCATCCAGGACTCAGCACAGAAGCGATTTTCTGTGGCATCCTCCTGCCACCTCCTGCTGTCTTTTTAATATCCAGAGCCACAGCCACTATTTGCTCCGAGAATTCTGTCCAACTTTGGCAGGCCAACCTCCTGAGAAGCACCCTCAGTCTCATTAAAGGCCAGCACGCTGTCTGCCATGTGCTAAACCGACAGTTATGTAGGTTAAGAATCAATGGATCAAGCCAGGCAATGGTGGCGCACGCCTTTAATCCCAGCACTCAGGAGGCAGAGGCAGGCAGATCTCTGTGAGTTCGAGGCCAGCCTGGTCTACAAGAACTAGTTCCAGGATAGGTTCCAAAGTTACAGAGAAATCTGTCTTGAGGGGGAAAAAAGCAGTGGATCAGTAGCAGTTACCTCTTGAAGCTCTATTTATTTTTATTTTCTGTGTACGGGTGTTTTGCTCGCACGCATGTCTGTGCCCCACACAAGTACGATGTCCACAGAGGCCAGAAAACCTCTCTGTATTCCCTGGGACTAGAGTTACAGATGGTTGTGAGCTGCCCTGTGGGTGCTGGGAACTAAACCTGGCTTCTCTGGGAGAACATCTAGTGTTCTAACCACTGAGCCATTTCCCCAGCCCCTGAAGCTTTATTCTTGGCTGCTAAGGTTAAAACTCAAAGCATCCCATGTCCAAACCCGTTTGCCTCGGTATCCAGTCTGATTCACAGCAGAATGTTAAAAAGCAAAACAAAGCCACTCCAAAGAGCCTCACCCACTTCCCATTCCCCTTCAGGCTGTTTCAGAGGTGACAGCACTGTGGGATGTGTTAGTTTAGCTCCTTTCCCCTCAGGGCTGAGCTCTGCTTTAATTCCCATCTTCTCAATTATCACATATTCTCTGTGAGCTTTTCCGCAGAGTCAACGGTAATATTTAAAGAATCCTTGCTTTCGCCTGTGGTTTTCTGAGGCGGTCTCTTTCTGTAGCCTAGGCTTGCCTTCAACTCAAGGTCCTCTCACTTCAGCCTCCCGAGGGCTGAGATCAAAAGTGCTCACCACAACTCTTCTTGGCTCAGAGGTTTTTCCTTTGGGGCTAGAGAGATAGCTCAGTTGGTGAAGTGCTTGCTCTGAAACCGTGAGGACTTGTGCTTGGTACCCAGCCTCCAGGTTGACTAAAGGGACCAGCTATGGCCAGGTGTACTTGTAATTTCAGCGCTTGGGAGATGGAGACAGGTGAGTGAGTCCCTGGGAGTCACTGGCCAAGCCATATTGGAGTAACTGGCCAGTGAGAGGTGCCCCCACATCCATCTATCTATCTATCTATCTATCTATCTATCTATCTATCTATCTATCTATCTCCCCCCTTCCCTCTCCTCCTTCCCCCACTCTCAAAACAAGAGGGGTAATACCCAGGGATCAACACAGAAATTTCTCTCTTCCTTTCTCCACTCTCCTCTTTCTCTCTTCTCCCTTTCCCCTCTGCCCCTCTCCTTTCCTCTGTAGATGAAGTACATTTGTTATAACAATCTCATATCTTGTGTTGTAACCACTGCAGAGGGGAAATGCTTATTGTCCAATGAAAGACTGGTCCCTCTGGTTGTCAGGGCCAGTTCTCACCTGCCCCTGCCCCAGGGTGCGCATGCTGGCTTTCTCTATTCGTGTGCATGATGTCCATTGTATGCATGGTTGGGGAACATTCTTTACCTTTCCAGCCGGTCTCCACTCTCTCTGCTTTGTTTGCCTGGAGCTGGATCTGAAGCCTTTGCTGCAAACCATCAGGGCACTTCAGAGGCTGCTGGTTTATTTTTCTGCCCTTGCACGCTACTTCATCTCTCAAGTGTTTACTTGAGGGTGACTCAGACTTTCAGAGTCAAAGCAGCAAAGACCCTGGCGTCTTCTCTGGATGTGAGGTGCTCAGAAGCCCCTGTGTGTGCCTCTGGCTTGTGGTAGGAGCACTCGAGAACCCAGGTGTCTTATCTGAAATTTATTTTGAAATAAAGAGCTCTATGACTTCTCTCTAGAGCAGATGTGATTCTTTCTTAAAAACCTAACGTTTACCTACTAATTTATCTTGAAACTTCTACATGAATGCCCTCACAGGCAATGGTAGCTGGGAAGGTTACTCAGCTAACAAATCCCAGGAGGGTTCAGTAAGCCATGGAGTATCTACCAGGGCTCCTGGACATGTTCTCAGTCGCTCACACCAGCAGTCTGCCTTCAAGCGGAGAGCCCCCAGTGCTGGCAGTCAGCCGAATGGGAGCTGTGGGCCTGTAGCCTACAGTGTCCTGAGCCTCGCATGGTACTCAGAGAAAGGCCTAGTTGTACCCCACAAGACTCCCAGAATCTGTCACTCACTGACATAAGCCAGTTGTCTGCTCTCCAGCGGTAACTGCAGCAGTTGTTTCCAGAGGAGCAGGGAGAAGGTTCTGGAAGGTTCTAGAATTTCTGTCTCGTGCTTCTGTTTTACTGGTTGAGATTTTATATCTATTAGTATCGCATACATCCAGCAGTACATGCACACCGCATATGAAGCAAATCCTGGAGGGCGTGTTCAAATGACCTGACTCAGTGGACATATGCTGAAAAGAGAGGCCTGTGGAAGAGAATGGTGCTACTTTCTAGGCAAGGGAACTCCCCATTTCTGGTCTGCTTGTCTCCTCATCAAGGAAGGAAGAACAGGAGTTGGTCTTGGAAAAGAAAAGAGGGCAGAGGGATTTTGAACTCCGGGTGGTCATTTCCTGGTGCCTCCTGGTGAGAATGCAGGGACCAGTTCATATCCATCCCAGCACACAGCTGCCAGCGGTTTACAGCCCTTCTGGCAGATCCCACTACCTGCCACTTAACAGGAGTTTGGCATAGTGGTGTGAAGTCCTCTGAGGTCCCTCAGATGGGCTCTGTATTCCGAGCCATGCAAGTTCCTCAGCATCTGGAAGCATCCCTTTGAACCCACATCACCTTTCTTCCTAGTACTATGGTGGAAATGATCGTAAATACAGCAGTAGGGAAATACAGAGCTGGCTGTCCCAGGAGCCTGTCACCCCGACAGAGGAGAGGAATGCAGGTGTGGGGATGCCTGACAGCCTCAGACAGAGGGAGCCTCCGTTCTTTCCTGTTCTGTGTCTCCCTCCACCCCTAGCGGGAACTCTGCTCAGCTGACTCTGTCGGACCAGAGCAGGCCAAGGGTACAGGCTGGAGGAGGCGGCGCTCTTTTGGTTTCTAACTTGGCCAAAGTTCATCTTTCCTGCAGGGTACGGCTGACCCTCTGTCACATGGCCCTGGCTGACTTCTGCTTCCTCTGTCCGTCCTGTCACCTGTCCG